AATGACCCACACCTTCATTCTCAAAGAGTCTGGGCCATTAGCAGTCCTGCCTGAATTAGGTGATCATAGTATGCTATTGATTGTAGTTACAGAAAGTACTTACAGGTACTCTAGAGCATTTCCTGCATTGCAGAGATATTACTTATTGCCCATTGTGTAGCAGCAACTCAGTTTTCCCTTTGAAATTAGGTATCACCCATTCAGTATTATGCTCCCATCCAGTACATCCATGTCCTGTTGATTCAGTGCCATAAGAAGACCAAAGTGGCAAGATTGCAGTCTCAACTTCCAATTCAAAGGAATTATTGTTATGTCACCAAATGGAAACATTTCTTCTTATTGGAAATAAGACCTTTAGACCAGCGGAGTCTAAAGTCGTGAGCATGGGAAGCAAGGTCTCCACTAATAGATCACTAAGGGTAATGGGTAAAGAAGGCAGTCCTATATCTGTGCCTTTATTCCCAGATTTGGGGCAAAGAGCAACATATATTAAATGCTGACTTAGAGAAAAGTTCATATTTGGAGGATATTGTCCAACCACACACAAGGTTTTGTCACCTTAACAGGCACAGCTGAGTCTTCAAAAGGTCGTTTCAGCATTCTGTCAAGCCTGCTACTTAAGGATAATGGGGAACATGGTAAGAGCAGTGAATGATTGCAGACCTCAGGCTCTCTCTTGTCCTCTAGCTTGCTCACTGTGATGGAAGCCTGCTGCCAGGTTGTAAGTTGCCCTGTGGAGAGGGCCACACGGCAAGGAACTGGTATCTCGGGCCAAAAGCCAGGGAGGACCTGAGGTCTACCAACAGCCATGTGAGTGACCTTGGAAGAAGATTCTCCCCAGTTGAGCTTTGAAATGCCTACAACCCCAGCCAACACCTTGATTGTAGTCTTGTGAGAGACCCTGAGCTAGCATCACTCAGCTGTGTTCAGATTTATGACCCACAAAAACTGTGAGATGATAAATGTACATTGTTTTAAGCTGCCAAGCTTTGGGGTTATTTGTCCCACAGCAGTAGATAATTAATGCAACAGGCTTAAACTTCAACTCAGGTGGTTGCACAAGCCTATGTAGAAGCAACCTTAAACCTTTTTTGAGACTAAAGCCTTGTAAGGCTCCTCTTATCCCTGATACCTTAGGGTTTAAAAGCACCTCTTTCTAAAGATGCACTCAAATGCTCATTGAAGACAATTTGTTCCTACCCTTGCTCCCCCACTGATTAGACTTTGCTGTTTTGGTGACCTTATCGTATAGTTTGAAATCAGGTAGTATGATGCCTCCAGATTTGTTCTTTTTGCTTAGTCTTGTTTTGGCTATGCAGGCTCTTTTTGGTTTCATGTGAATTTTGGAATCGTTTTTTACAGTTTTGTGATGAATGATGGTGGTATTTTGATGGATAGTGCATTGAATTTATAGATTGCTTTTGGCAGTATGGTCAATTTTCACAATATTGATTCTACCCATCCATGAGCATGGGATGGGTTTCCATTTGTTTGTGTTGTCTTGTGATTTCTTTCAGCAGTGTTTTGAAGTTCTCCTTGTAGAAGTCTTCTGACTTCTTGGTTGGGTATATTCATAAGTATTTTATTTTATTTTTTGCAGCTGTTGTTAAAGGGGTTGAGTTCTTGATTCGATTCTCCACTTGGTTGCTGTTGTTGTATAGAAGAGCTAACGATTTATGTACATTAATCTTTTACCTGGAAACTTTGCTGAGTTCTTTCATCAGTTCTAGGAACTATCTAGGGGAGACTTTAGGGTTTTCAAGGTAAACAATCATATTGTCAGCAGTGACAGTTTGACTTCGTCTTTAACAATTTGGATGTCCTTTGTTTCTTTCTCTTTTCTGGTTGCTCTGGCTAGGATTTCCAGTACCATGTTTAAGAGGAGTGGTGAGAGTGGGCATCCTTGCTTTGTTCCAGTTCTCAGAGGAAATGCTTTCGACTTTTCTCCATTCAGTATTATGTTGGCTGTGGGTTTGTCATAGATGGCTTTTATTACATTAAGGTATGTCCCTTGTATACCAATTTTGCTGAGAGTTTTAATTATAAATCGGTACTGGAATTTGTCGAATGCTATTTCTGCATCTATTGAGATGGTTATGGGATTTTTGTTTTTAATTGTGTTTATGTGGTGTATCACATTGATTGACTTGGGTATGTTAAACCATCCCTGCGTCCCTGGCATGAAACCCAGTTGATCATGGTGGATAATCTTTTGGTTATGTTGTTGGATTCGGTTAGCTAGTATTTTGTTAAAGATTTTAGCATCTGTGTTTACCAAGAGTATCAGTCTGTAGTTTTTGTTTTGGGTTATGCCCTTTCCTGGTTTTGGTATTATAGTGATGCTGGCTTCATAGGATGAATTAGGCAGAGTTCCTTCTTTCTCAATCTTATGGAATAGTGTCAAAAGGATTGGTACAAATTCTCTTTGAATGTCTGGTAGAATTCTGTTGTGAATCCATCTGGTCCTGGACATTTTTTGTTGGTAATTTTTTTATTACCATTTCAATCTCACTGCTTGTTATTGGTCTGTCCAGGGTATCTAATTTTCCTTATTTACTAAGAGGATTGTATTTTTCCAGGAATTTATCTATCTCCTCTAGGTTTCTAATTTATGTGCATAAAGATATTCATAGTAGCCTTGAATGAGCTTTTGTATTTCAGTGGTGTCAGTTATAATATCTCCTGCTTTGTTGCTTAGTGAGGTTATTTGGATTTCTCTCTCCTTTTCTTGGTTAATCTTGCCAATGGTCTATTTTATTTATCTTTTCAAACAATCAAGTTTTTGTTTCATTTATCTTTGTATTGTTTTCTTTTGTTTCAATTTGATTTCGTTCTGCTCTGAGCTTGATTATTTCTTTTCTTCTGCTAGGTTTAGGTTTTATTTGTTCTTATTTCTCTAGTTCCTTGAGGTGTGACCTTAGAATGTCAGTTTTTACTGTTTCAGTCTTTTTGATATAAGTGTTTAGGACTATGGACTTTCCTCTTAGCACCACCTTTGCTATATCCCAGAGATTTTGGTAAGTTGTTTCATTATTGTTGTTCAGTTCAAAGAATTTTTTAATTTCCATTTTGATTTCATTTTTAACCCAGTACTCATTCAGGAACAGGTAATTTAATTTCCATGTATTTGCATGGTTTTAAAGGTTCCTTTTGGAGTTGATTTTCAGTTTTATTCCACTGTGGTCTGATTGAATGCTTGATATACAATTTTCTTAAGTTTATTGAGGCTCGTTTTATGGCCTGTCATATGGTCTAGCTTAGAGAAGGTTCCATGCGCTGTTGAGTAGAATGTGTATTCTATGGTTGTTGGATGAAATATTCTGTATATATCTGATGAGGCCATTTGTTCCAAGGTATAATTTAAATCCATTGTTTCTTTGTTGACTTTGTATCTTGATGACCTGTCTAGTGCTGTCAGTGGAGTATTGAAGTCCCCCAGTATTTTTGTATTGCTGTCTATCTCATTTTTTAGGCCTATTAGTAATTGTTTTTATAAATTTTGGAGCTCCAGTGTCAGATGCATATATATGTTTAGTTTTTGTTTCATTTATCTTTGTATTGTTTTCTTTTGTTTCAATTTGATTTCGTTCGAACTTTTCTGTTCGACAAGGCTTTTTACCATTATATAATATCCCTCTTTGTCTCTTTTAACTGCTGTTGCTTTAAAGTTTGTTTTGTCTGATACAAAAATAGCTACCCCTGCTCGCTTTTGGTGTCCATTTGCATGAAATGTCATTTTCTACCCATTTACTTTAAGTTTATGTGAGTCCTTATGTGTTAGGTGGATCTCCAGAAGGCAGCAGATAGTTGATTGGTGAGTTCTTACCCATTCTGAGATTCTGTATCTTTTAAGTGCAATAGCTAGGTCGTTTTATTCCATGTTAGTATTGAAATGTGAGCCATTGCATTCCTTCTGCTCTTTGTTCCCTGTGTACTTGTTTTTTTTGTTTGTTTGTTTTTGCTTTTTAACTTGTATTTTTGTTATGTAGATCCTGTGTGATTTAAGCTTTAAAGAGGTCCTGTTTTGATGTGTTTTCAGGATTTGTTTAAAGATTTAGAGCTCCTTTTAGCAGTTCTTGTAGTGGTGGCTTGGTAATGGTGAATTATTTCAGCATTTGTCTGAAAAAGATTGTATCTTTTATATGTGATGCTTAGTTTCACTGGATACAGAATTGCTAGCTGATAATTGTTTTGTTTGAAGAGGCTAAAGGGTTTCTGCTGAGAAATCTGCCGTTAATCCGATAGGTTTTTCTTTTCTTTTTTTTTTTTTTTTTTTTTTTAGACAATGTTTTGCTCTGTGGCCAGGCTGGAGTATAATGGCAGGATCTCTGCTCACTGCAACCTCCGCCTCCCAGGTTCAAGCGATTCTCTTGCCTTAGCTTCCAGAGTAGCTGGGACTACTGGCGCATGCCACCACACCCAGCTAATTTTTTGTATTTTAGTAGAGACGGGGTTTCGCCATTTTGGCCAGGATTATCTCGATCTCTTGACTTCATGATCCACCTGCCTCAGCCTCCCAAAGTGTTGGAATTACAGGCGTGAGCCACCATGCCCAGCATCTGATAGGTTTTCCTTTATAAGTTACCTGGTACTTCTGTCTTATGGCCCTTAAGATTCTTTGCTTCATCTTAACTTTAGACAACCTGATGGCAATGTGCCTAGGCAATGATCTTTTTGCAATGAATCTCCTGGGTGTTCTTTGTGCTTCTTATATTTGGATGTCTAGGTTTCTCACAAGGCAGGGGAAGTTTTCCTCAATTATTTTCCCAAACATGTTTTTCAAGCTTTTAGAATTCTCTTCTTCTTCAGGAACACCAATTATTCTTAGGTTTGGTCATTTAACATAATCCCAGACTTCTTGAAGGCTTTGTTCAGATTTTTTTATTGTTTTTTCTTTGTCTTTTTTGGATTGGGTTAATTTGAAGACGTTGTATTGGGTTAATTCAAAGACCTTATCTTTGAGCTCTGAATTTCTTTCTTCTGGTTGTTCAATTCTATTGCTGAGACTTTCCAGAGCATTTCATATTTCTAAAAGTGTGTCCAAAGTTTCCTGAATTCTTGATTGTTTTTTCTTTAAGCTATATTTCCTTGAATATTTCTCCCTTCATTTCTTGTACTGTTTTTTGAATTTCCTTGTATTGGGCTTCGCCTTTCTCTGGTACCTCCCTGATTAGCTTAATAACTGACCTCCTGAATTCTTTTTCAGATAAATCAGGGCTTTCTTCTTGGTTTGGATCCATTGATGGTGAACTAGTGTGATTTTGGGGGGGTGTCGACAAGCCTTGTTTTGTCATATTACCAGAGTTAGTCTTCTGGTTCCTTCTCATTTTGGTAGGCTCTGTTCAAGGGCAGGTCTAGGGCTAAAGGCTTTCATTTAGATTCTTTTGTCCTGTGGGTGTTCCCTTGATATACTACTCTCCCCCTTTTCCTATGGATGTGGTTTCTTATGCGCCGAACTGCAGTGATTATTGTCTCTCTTCTGGGTCTAGCCACCCAGCTAGTCCACCTGGTTCTGGGCTAATACTGGGGGCTATCTGTATAGGGCCCTGTGATGTGAACTGTCTATGGGATTCTCAGTCATGGATACCAGCACCTGTTCCAATGGAGGTGGTGGTACGAGGTGTGCAATGAACTCTGTAAGTAAGAGTTCTTAGCTTTGGTGGTGTAATGCTTTATTTTTGTGCTAGTTGGCATCCTGCCAGGAGGTGGTGCTTTCCAGAGAACATCAGCTGTAGTAAAATCCAGAGGGACGGGCAGTGGGCAGGGCCCTACAGCTTCCAAGATTATATGCCCTTTGCCTTCAGCTACCAAGGTCGGGAGGAAAGAACCATCATGTGTGGCAGGGCTAGGCATGTCTGAGCTTACACTCTCCTTGGGTGGGTCTTGCTGTGGCTGCTATGGAGCCTGAGGGTGAGATTCCCAGGTCACTGGAGTTGTGTACCTAGAAGGATTATAGCTGCCTCTGCTGAGTCATGCAGTTGTCAGGGAAGTGGGGGAAAGACCGCAGTCACACACCTCACCCAGCTCCCACATCAATTGAAGGGCTGGTGTCACTCCCACCACGCCCCCCACAACAGCTCCGAGTCTGTGTGCAGGCGGAGGGCAAAACAGGCTTGGAAAGTTGCCCCGGGTTACTTGCCTCCCAGCTGCAAAAGAAAAGGGCTTGGTTCTTCCCTGCCTATGGAGTCTGCACATCGGATTTGCACCCTTCCCCGAGTTCTGGCCACGAGGCTTCTCACCCTGTTCAAATCGTTACAAACTTCACCTAGAGATTTTCTTCTCTGTGGAATTTTACCCCCTACTCCTCTGGCCACCCTCCTGATGAATCCCTGTGGTGCCAGTCAGGTATGGCCTACTAGGGGACCCAGTGATCTCCCAGGGCCTTTCTGCTGCTTCCTCTACCCCTGTATTTTGCTCAGCTTTCTAAATTGACTCAACTCCATGTAAGGTCAGAAACGTCTCCCACAAATAGACCTTCGTTTTCTGCAGTGGGGGTGTGTGTTCAGGAGTGGAGGCTCTACCTCTCCCACTTCCGCAATTGGGACACTCACAGGCTTTGGTGTATCTCCCAGGTCCTTCAGGACCAGTCCACTTCCTTCAGAGCACCTGTGGTTCCTCTCAGGATTCAATCTGGAGCTAGAATTCACAATGCAAGCCTGCATGCTGCTCTGTCCAGAGCTGCAATCTAGCCCTGACTCCCATCAGCCATGATGATCATACCTCCTCTAAAGACCAATTCTCACTCTATTTATAGTATTTTCTACTAGTAAAATTGGCCAGTTAAGGATACTGTTATTCAGAGAATGATGTCTCAGTTAAGAGGATGTATATTTATTTCACAGTTCATATTTTAATTATTTATTGTAAAGTGGCAACAGTAAATATCTGCCTCACTTACCTTGTATCAATATGAGGACAATTTGTATATTTTCAGAGGAACACTTTGAATTCATCAGAAGAAAGATACTGAAAATTCCACAGGGTTCTATATATTCCCATTAGGTATTTTAAACTTTAAGGCTATAATTTAAAACTATTATTGATTATTTTAATTCTATAGGACTGAAAAGGCATTTGCAGAAATACTGTCTTTGATTTTCCTGTTTCTATTTATAGAGAACAAATAACTTATTTATTTAGGCTTTCCTATGTTTTCTGGGACATTGATAAGGATCACAAAATATTATATAAAAATCCGAGCCACAGAAAGATGATAGAAAATATAGTGAATAAATTAAAAGGAAAACTAATAGTTGAGAGAAAAATATTCATAGGACATAGAAATATGGAAGCAATAAAACTGAAAAAGACATTGGGTAACAGTTAGATAAAATTAGAAATGATGTGCTGCTCCCCCAAAATATTCCATTTAATTTTTGACTGTGTATGAGGAGGTATTCTGTCAGGGTAAGAGGAAAGGAAAATATAAATGTTTGAAAACAGACAAGGTTATAGAGCATTGATATCTTCTGACTTCTTACAAGTCAGCACAGCTTGCTTTGGCTGGTGCATGAATGACAAGGTACTCTTTGCTAGATTGGTTCTACCTGGGGCTGTGTTTGGAGAGGTGCTGCTGCTAAGGCATACATACTTTCAGCCCCCTCCAGATGTGCTCCCTAAGTGCCTTTGAGTTTGCCCATTCAGTCTTCATTCAGTGAGTAGTTGTTGTGTGCAAGACATTGCTCTGGGTACCAGGGATACAGCAGTGAATTGCAATGGATGAAGGTCTCACACAGAGCTTACCTTCTGGTAAGGGAGACTAACAGTAATCAAGGTAAGTTAGAAAAGTATATAGGATGTCAGAAGTTTATTGTCTGTCTCCCCTATTAGAATGCAAGTTCCATGTAGGAGAAAATAAAAAGCAGGAAGGGAGGACCTGAAGAATGTGTTTCTGGAAGAGAGGGTAAGAATTTTGAGATCCATTTACCAGTCCTTTAAGATTTATGGTAACCATAAAGCAGAGTTACCAGCAAATTATTATTCCACTACTCCTGAAGTGGCTATAGGAAAGTATAGCATTTGTGCAGCACTCTAGGCATCACAGACAAGGTTACTTATATCCAGAGGTAGATGGACAGAGTCTTGCGACATCACATGCCTCTTATCTGACCTGAATGGTGAGGGTATCTTGACATGTCTTTGGCCACTTCATACCAGGCACACAGGATGGAAAGCTCTACCTTACAGTGTCATTTTTTGCATGCTGTTGAGGAAAAGCCTGAACCTAGATTCACTAAAACTATGTTGTCTAAAGGCCTGATGCGTGTCAGCATATTTTCTCCCAGAACTTATAACCATCACATTATTGTGATGCCCCTACTATAGCTTAGATGGGCATCTCTCTATTATTTCAGCTTTCCTAGAACACTTGATATAAATCTAGGCACTTCAAAATTAGAAAGATAACAGAATACAGTAAATGTATTTAAAAAAAAAAAAAGGAAGAAGAAGAGGAAAGGAAAAGGAAAACAACCAAGCATTGTAGATTCTTCTGGGTTAAGAATTAAACTTGAGAAGTTCCTCTATTTAGATGGTCCTTTCTTGGGTTTGGATGTAAAGAAGGAGACCATCAGTCATATGTACCTAACTGCTAAGCCCTGTTTTCTCACCAGAATGTGAAGTCGAAATTTAGCAATTACGAGGTGAATTTGAATCGTAGACAACCTGCTAATGTAACCCTAATTTTTATTTGCTTAAATAGTCCAAATTGACTGTTTGCACTGACTAAACTTACTGAATATTTGCTAAATAGTCACTTCACTTTATTGCTGAAAATTCCTCTTGAGGATGTGACACTAAGTTATATCTCTTCTTTGTCAGTGAATAATCACTTCCTTCTAAAGATAGCAATGAAAAATCAACAGTAATTGCCTGTAGAATGTGGTGTCACTCAGAATGTGTAGACAAGTTGAGTTGTCTAATGTGTTTTTAGACACAGCTTAAATTAATTAGGTAATTGAAAATCTATACTTTGCCTTGTAAACATATCTTAAAATTCAAGGCATATTAGCATATATGATACTGTACCACTTTTGAGTATGTGTACTGCTCAAGAAGTATAGCATTCCTGTTTGCATTCAAAAGTTATTCTAATTCTTTAAGTGATGTTTTCATGAACTAAATAACACTTTTCAGACAGTTTTTATTGCTGTAGAATTAACCTTGTAGCTTTTGATTATCAGTTCCTCTATTCAGTGTTGTATGCTACCTTATAATTATTAGTTAATGTAAGGAATGAGTATTGTAAAAGTTAGCCACCAGGAACTCTGTGTTTTCAGTTTATCATTCATAATAAATAGTTGGAATCAGGAACTCTAAGGAAGTAATTAATTATAGAATCATTTAAGATTTCCTGTCTAAATATAAAATCTTTATTTATATTGATTACTAGTATATATAATCATTTGCCCTGATTATATATATTTTATCAGGTCCAATTATTATCCTGTGACTCTGACTTTTTCAGTTTTCCAGTAATCACAGTGAATATAAGTAGTCTCACTCCAAAAATCTCACTTTAAAAAAATTAAAAATAGCCACCATGTTTTTTACAGCTTTCTGAACCAATTTGTGAAAAATCCTTCGAAGAATTTGGCAGTAAAGGTGGCAACTCTCCTTTTCCTGAGCTAACTCTTCTCTTTAAAGAAAAAAAATTTTTAACTAATTATTTTGGGACTGCTTTTAGGTAAATTACTGAATAATAAGAATTTGTGTTTGTACTTTATAAGTTTTGAGTTAATATGGAAATACTATTCCTTTTACTCTCCCATAGGACTATCTTTATGGCTCTTAATGCTCTGTCTGTAATGGTTGGAAAAATAAGTCAGGAACCAGTGGTACTTTAGACAGACATTTTCATCCTTTGTATCATACATTAAGTCTTGATCTCCCTTCCTATGGCTGTCTTTGCTTCACTTGCCCTCTGTTAGTTCTGTCTGAGTCACTGCCCTTGATGGATCTCTCTATGCCTATTGATTGACTCTCTCATCTGGCTTAGTCTCTATGCCATGTCTTCCTGGCTTCCAGTCTCCCTGACCTGAAGACTCTGCCCTCCCAGCCCATGGAATCACATCTCCCCCAGCCTACATGTTTCTGTTTAACCTTGTCTGACTGTGGTTTGCCTGGGTTCGCTTGCCCTTCACTTCCCTCTGACATGGGCTCTGTGCCTCCCTCAAGGCACAAGGCTCACGATCTGCTCTCACCTATACATTCTGTGTGCCCCTATGTACACCCGCTCAGCCTGCCCTGTCTGTCTTGTCATAGACAGACTGACAGCAAGTCACCAGTGATAAATCTGTCTGCATCCCCAAATATTCCCAAAACATACATGTTCAGAGAAACTGCATTGCTTTCTAGAGGTGATTTGGAATATCTAAAATGCATCTTCTCTGGTACTAAAATGAATATTCAAAGTGAACATTAGGCACTATGCTTAAGCCAAATATTATTTATTTATAAAATCTCAAGATGTTCAGAGTTGATTATCAGCACTTTAAAAGCAGGAGTATAATTTTTTAAGTTTTTGCTATTTCATATTTCTTAAAATATAGTCTCTTTCCAAAGGAAAATAGTTCTATTTAATGATAAATTTTGAGAGGTAATTATTTTGGATTAATGACTTTGTTTGGATTAATGAGTTTGTAGGTACAAAAAATTAATTTAACTGATATTTGATGTCTAAATGTTCTTTGAGACCTTGTGCTAGCATTTCTGACCATAGTGCCTGTTAATATCCCCGTCAGCCATACATACATGACCCTAACTATTTGATATATTATACCAATAAGTGAAAATATATTTTACCAACTAGTTTATAGATGTTTTGCATAACTGCATGGCACAATCCTTGATATAATTCTATTGTATTACATAATTTCTTAATTTCTAAAGTGCTATAGAAGCAACTTGTTAAAAAAAAGTTGGGGCAAAAAAAACACCCCCTTTTAAGCTTTTTGTAGCAATGATTTCTATAAATGAGACTTTTTAAGGAGACCCTAAGTTAAAAGTTATGAGTAAGCTAAAATCAAAATCGGCATGAAGATTCTTTTGTTATTTGCTAATATTTCAGAAATTTAAAAAAGTAATGTGAAAATTTTCAGACTTTTTAAATTTTATTTACTTTTTAAAAATTCTCTTCAAAGAAATTTAGTCTTCTACTAATTTTAATATATGTGAAATAGTAGCTAGACCTCTCCTTCTCAGTTTCCAGATGGAAGGTGATTAAATTTAAAATAAGACACTGTTGGCTGTGTATGATGGCTCATGACTGTTATCCCAGCACTTTGGGAGGCAAAGGTGGGAGGATGCCTTGAGGCCAGGAATTTGATACCAGCCTGGGTAACATAGTGAGACCCCATCTCTACAAAAAAATTAAAAAATTTAGTTAGGCAGGGTAGAGCATGCTTGTGGTCCCAGCTACCTGGGAGGCTCAGATGGACAGATCGCTTGAGGCTGGGAGGTTGAGGCTGCAGTGGACCATGAGTGTGCCACTGTAATCCAATCTGGGCAACAGAATGAGACCCATCTCAAAAATGAAATAAGACATTGTTAATTTAAGGCCACAAATATAACCAATATGTAGGAAAGCTATTGTATGTGAAATTAGAGGTACTCAGTTTGAATATTACAATAGTTTAGATTTTTGCCATATTTTTCTTATGAAGGAGTAATCACTCAGAGTTATTTGTTTTTGCTTTTCTTTAAAAACAATATCAAGCATGTAAAAATCAGCATAAGTAGCAAAGCTTAAATTTTTAGATAATCCAAATTTAATTATTCTACCAATTAGTTAATTGTCTTCATTCATCCCCCCAAAATTAGAGCCTAATTCCATGTCTTACCCCTAATTTGAGTTATTCTTGATTCTCTTGAGGCAAGAAACTAACTGTAAATATTTATTCTTGAATTCCACAGAGTTGTATTGAACACCTAATCTGTATTAGGCACCAATCTAGGCTTCAAGGGTATAAAGAGTATTAGACATGACTTCTGCTCTTAAGGAGCTCACAGTCTCCTAGAAAGAAGTCTTGTGTTTATTGCAAAGAGTCTCTTTGCTCCTAGTCAGAGAATTATCATTGTAATGGGTGGTGTGGTTGGGAGTGAGGAAGTAAAGGGCTAATGAGCTCTTTTAGAATCCACAAGTAACTCCTAGTTCACCAACATCCTTTTTTATTAGATGACACTCTAATGTCCTTGAAGAGTTAGTGCATCTTCTGAAAGTATCCACTTTTCTTCCATACTGTCATGAAAACCTGGCTTTTTACTCTAGATATTCTAAACAAGCATATGTTACTTGTCATTTCAACCTCTTTAATAGTAGTATGTGAGCATTTATCAGGAGGATCTTTGGATTTATCATGACCATGGGAAATTTGTATTTTCCCAAATATGTGGAGAATAATGGCCAGATAAATATCCACAATCACATTGTCTGTAAAATAGGGTAAGACTAGTATCATCTCATTGGGTTCTATTAAGTGAAATAATTTATATAGAGTTCTTAAAACAGTACCTAGCATATAGTAAGAACTTCATAATTCCTCATTTTGCATAATTTTGATATACACGAATTTTTGTTACCATGGTTTAAATAACACCAATTCCCCAGAAAACAAGGTTCAAAGTTCAGTTTCCACAATATATTACGTGTAATTGCATTAAGCACACTTTGCCACTAGCCCTTCAGTCCACAGATCTGTATGTGAATAACAGATGCACATCATGATCAATGGCCAATCACATTACTTTTTTCAGACTCTTGTCACTGATTGGTCATATCATATCTGCTTTCAGTTCATGTACAGATGGCATTGTCTCCCATTTTACAAGAGTACATGATCAAAAGAGAGACTTGACCAACACAGATGACAGTGCAGTAAAGAAATGAAACACTGGAAATGAAATAGAAAGTGTTTATAACAAAAAAGATGAAGATGTCTCAGAGAAAGTGACACTGGCAAACTAAAAAGCAAGACAAAAAACTCTCATATTAAATGAACTCTCAGAGCTATTTCACAACATTGAAAGTGCAAAGGATAAAATGTCGAAAGCTGATTCAAACTTAAGATTGTGACATTTTTGCCCACACATAGACAAGATATGATTGACCATACTATAAGTGATATGATTAAAAGAAGGCAAGCACTGATCAATTGACTTTAAATAAATTTTTTTACATAGAAATAAAGCACTTTAATTCTCAATGTTTCTAATGTTTAAATTATAGCATACTAAATGAAATTAGTTGTGTTATTTTTTCTTTATTTTTCCCTGACTATAAGGATTTTTAACATTTTGACAAAAAGAAATGTAGAGGTCATAGAAAACGCATAATTTATCCTATTGATTATTATGATCCCTTTGCATGGTTTCAGCTTGTGTAGTCATTTTTATAGTTCCTCATTCTCATGCAAAGCAAGGACATCCTGTAGTTGTTATTAACAATTATTTTGTCCACCAAATCAAGTATTAACAATGTTAGGAAAACTGTTCATTGCTTTTCAGTATTTCAGAATTTAAAAACTTTGTCATTTCTTTCCTGCTTCTTGTCTTTGTGTTTTCAAAGTATCTGGGTTCTAATTCTAGTCCTGTCTTACCATAGGGTTACCCTCAGAGCCTCCTGATATATCTTACACAGAAGTACGGTATTTAAACTCCTTATTTTACTGTTCTTCAATATTCTACCCTATTCCTTCCTTCTCCTAAATCTTCTACCTTAATTCCATGCTAACCTTTTCCTTTTATTCTTTTCCCTGCTAATATCCTATTCTTCCATACTCTCCTTCAACCCCTGAAAGCCTATCAGTTCTTTAATACATTGTCTTCCTTTCAAAATGACACCTGCCCTAGAACATATCCTTAAGAGAAACTTCTTTAAATTACTGGCTTCTTCCTTATGTTTCATCTACATTTCTGTCAATCAGAAAAGACCAATGTCTTGCTTGAATTTAAATTATTACAGAAAATTCTGTGTAAGAAAAATGTAAAATTGTAGCTGGACATTGACTAGATTAGCACTTGCCAACAATGACATGATTGGCAACAAAATAAGAATTGAAAATAAATACTGTGCATTTTTTTTCACTGTATACACTTTTGTGCCTCTTAAGCCATGTGATTGTGTAGGTAAATATTTTTTTAAAAAATGAAATTTACATTAAGTAAATCATCAAAATAGAAGTCTTGCTTTCAGTTTTCCACTCACAGTTGGTTTGATGTAATTACCTCCAAGAGTTCTGAGGCTTTCAGAAGATGAAACCTTCATCTGCCTAATGTTTTCTGCACACACATAGAATGAAGAACAGGCTGCAGGGAGCTTGAGGAATGGACTAGAGGCAGACAGATTTTGATTTGGGCATGAGTATTTTGCTCAAAGAGAGGCTGACAACCTGATTTGTTCTCTTTAAGACCTTTGAGATTATAGTAAGGTGACTGGAAGAGGATTCAGTTTAATAGGCTGACTGAATGCTGTCTGAATATTTTTCAGGTCTAAAATGCTGAAAGAAGTGTTTCATCTATATATTTAGGTAAATTTTGCTTAGAATTTTTAGTCTGTTACTACCTCTTGAATTTTCCATGGTCATTGCTGCATTTAGTGTTAGTTAAAGAGTGCATTTATCAGACAAAAAAAACATCAGTGACTCTGTTTGGCTTATTTCAGTTCATAGTTTCCTAAAGAGATTCCAGGGAAATTCTCAGAAGCCTCAAACTTGTGATGGTAATAGCACCAACATCAATTAATCTGGAATCTCTTTAAAAAAAAAAAAAAAAAAAAAAAACATAATTCTCACAACACTTAAAAGAGTTATCTGCCATAAACAGAAATTCTTTTCTACTTCTCAATTTACTTCTCTAAGCCCATTTCACATCATGATTACTAGTTTCATTGGGCATAAGCTGTCATTTTTGTTAGTATATTTTACTGTGCCGTGTAATGAAAAATTTTTCGTTAAACCAGTTGTGCATCTCCTACTCTAAAATGGAAGCAGAGTGATAATTTGAATGTAGAACATAGTCACTGCACCCTGACTAGAGTAATCAATGCAAGAACATCCTTAAATCTTTTCTTCTGTAACAAGGGCAAACTCAGCTAAAAAGTTTGCTTAAATCATGCTTGGCATAACAAGAGCCTTTAAACTTTATCTATCTCTATCTGTGAATATACCTGACTCATCATCATAGTGCCTTTCAACTCAGCCCCACTCAGCTCAACTGCTCTTCCTGCCTTATACAGATATTTAAAATTCCTTAAGGCTTCTGGTGAAGGCTGCAGGGTTTTTATACTTAATATTATTTTATAGCACAGGAAGTTCATAACTCATGAATATCTCACATTTGCAAAATAAAATGGAGGGCCTTTTCTCTGTATACTCTAAGTCTGTTTTTGGTCTCTGACTGTGTGGTGTTTGTGTCACATTTGTGTCATAAGCATTTGTTTCTAAGCAGCAATTACATCAGAGTAAAGCCGTTTTTAAAATACTAAAAGGAAAAGCAGCAAGAAGTAATGATTTTAAAAAGTCCTTCATAATCTTAATCTGAAATTAAAGAAATCAAGGAAATCTGCTAGCAAGACTACTACATTATAGCTTTTCTCCACATATAAAAGCATCTTGTATTACTGTTATTTACAAGTGGCTGTTCTTTCACCCATGTTCTTGTCCTCTGTTATCTCCTGTACAGAATAGTGCCATTATCTATTATGAAAATTATCTTGAAAAGCAATAAATTATCCTGTTTAGTACCTACATTGATTTGATTAGCTCTGTTTCTATGTTATTACAACATAAATGTTCTTATTGTACATACTTTATTAGCTTTTCTTAATTGCCTAACTTATCTTTGATGGCTCACTTTGCTTTATATAGTTTAGTAAAGATCCACACAAAGGATTGACACGTAATCATTTCAGTGTATTTCCAGGTGGTTCCCAGTGAACTAAATTGTTGTAATGTGTGATGTTAATTCTTTCACTGTGAGGAGGGAGGCATTGTTCCTTAAAGTAATCAGCTGCAAGAGTTTTCCTGGATTACTGACTTTACTCCCTGGATCCAGAGAGGGTCTTCCCAGTATCTAGTCTCTGCATCTTGTCTTCTGCTTCAGCCTTTTGTCCTGCTTCTTGACTAATATGATTCTTGAGGTCCTACACCTGCTCATCCTAGTGGCAATGCCTTTACACCACAATGCCTGGTCAGTGCTAACTTTACTAGGAAATCTGCAGAGTAGGGAAGACAGTAAAGATCAGCAGCATGTAGTCTGCCCTGCCCTCTCTGTCCAACTTGGATATCATTCTTAGATATTCTGGTCTGCTTTGTTGCTTTAACGCCGTCAAAAAGTTGTTGTTTTTTTTTTTTTTTTTTTGAGACTCTACTATAGAAAATTGGAAGTTCTTACAGACTCGAGCAAAGCCATGTCCTCCTTTATCTCGAGTAAGAGAAGCTTTTGGGAGAGATGCGTTTGGAGGAATGACGAAGCAAGGATCACCTTCCCAGCCAGTGAAATAACTGACCAACAGAATGACATAAAAGGCAGATTACTCACATCCGGATGTTTTCATGGACTTAATATACTCAGAGCACTGTGGCTAGTTCATGAATTAGCATGTTGCTTGGCACATAGGTACAAACTAAATGGTATATCTATAATATGTATGTTAGAGGTTTTGTATCTCCTAGCTGGAGAACTAAGACATAAAACTCCAGCTGTTTAAGGCAGCAAATGTATGTGAGTTTAAATGGCAGTAAGTTCAGAGAGGTCACTGTGGTCCAGAGTATAGGGCAAGACTTCTCAAAACTATGAAACTTGAACCAAACCCCACAAGGATATTGATTCTTAACTCTGCTTCCATGGTTTCCTGCTTCTTAGCATTTGTAGATCATGACCATTGGTTTTGTCTCCTTAGAATAGAGAATTCTTAAGGGAAGCCTAATAATAAAAATCCTGATACTTTCCATTTTTAAGTATTTCTGCTTAAAACAACTCTTTCAGAAAACCACGCTTGATTCCAAAGATCCTAATAATAGAAAACTTCTTAACTTCTCTTTGGGTAAGTATAGTTGTCCTGCTCTACTGTCAGTTTCTCTTCTCCCTCATTTAGATTATAAATATATAGGGGACTGGAACCATATGTTTCTTATCCTTACTCTGTAATTCCCTATGGATAAGACTGGCCTGATTCTTACATTGTAATCTAATCACTTACTAAGAGTGAATTTTTTTCCATGTATTTGTTGAAGGTGATGGATTAGCCTTTCAAACGCCCCAGCACAAATAGCACTGGTTGTCTTGAGCATTCCCATCAACTGCCTTCCCCTGATCGCTATTCCTGTACCAACTAAATGTGCTTCTACTTCCTTTCTCTGCTAGCCCCATTTCCGTAGGACGCTGAATATACTTTTAAAAAGATGGCAAGACATCCCTTCAGAATATGGGCTTTTCTTTTTGGCAGCAGATACGCACATTGGTAGATGAGATCTGACCAAGTACAAAGAAAGCCTTAAGTGAGATCATCCAAGTAAATCTTAAAACCCATCAAGTGAGTATATTGCATTACTTTTTAGTTTAGTAAATGTTTTCAGCCACTGTGTTTTAACTCAGCTTAACTATAATAAGGCTTTGCTCCCATCTATTTGAACTCACTTTTTCTAATTCATTAAAAATAATTTCATTCAACTTTTGTTTTCAACAACTAATGAACCTTTTTCCTGTTCTTCTCTTGTGAAAATGGGCTGTTTTCAAAATATAGGCCTTAGCATACATATTGCTTTCTCTTCTTTATCCTGCTTTGTGATCCAGCTTTCATTTTGTTTGGCAGATACTGATAGCTTTGTGATTTTGAAAAAATAGCATGTAAGTGTACCTTGAGGATACCAGCAAAGTTATTCTTAAATGAACGTCTGTATATTTCAAGCTGTTTTTTATAGACCTTCGTCTTAAAATCTAATTAAAGGCAAATATGGAAGTCTTTTTACCATTAATGCTACAGAGATTCATTTATTTAACATTAAATATTTCTTGACTTCCTGCTATGTTCCAGGCGCTGAAGATCTAGCAGTGAATAAGACAAGCAGTGACCCTGCTCATAGCCAGAACACATTGTAGCTGGGGTTGCAGTAGAGATACAGATGACAGATAACTAAGTGTACAGCCTGTAGCGATGACAGCTAATTTTCTGATTATTCTTTTCTCTTTACCATTGCTTCAAGGCCATATTTGCAAACTCAACACAACACAACCTGTAGTGTTGAGTTGAATTTAGTCTCAAGCTGTTACCTTCATCTAGGAAGAGGTATTTAAGGGTTGAGGAAGATGAGGTTAGGAAGGAGATGGTAGACTTCAGATGTTTTAGGAGACCAAGGATATAAGATTTGATGCCCTATGGAGAACAGAAAAAATCAAGAACAGCTTCTAGGTTTAAGCTTGGGTGACTGAGTTGGTGATAATGCAATTAATTAGCTCAAGAGTCTCAGAATGAGAGGCAGGTTTAGAAGTGGGGATAATGAATTTGACTTGGGGCAGTGAAAAGTACAAAACTGGAAATCTGAAGAGAAGTCAGAACTGAAATAGATTTGGCTGTTACCAGCATTTCATGTAAACTTTAAAAGAAGCAAGAAGTGTAGTCAGCATTGTCAGATATGGCAGGATGAGGATCTTTTAAAAGGCCATTGGATTTGACCTTTGGAAAATCACTGATGACTTCAAGAAGACCGATTTCAGTAGATGTGGATGGGGACAGAGCCATGTGATGATTGGTTTACACATTGAAGGGCTATGATTGTCTAGCCAAGGTCATTGTGCTCTTCCTCCTTGGAAACTTTGAAACTGAGGTCAGGGCTTTTCTCCCTCCCTCAGCTTTCTCCATTCAGGGCCCACAACTGGATGCCTGAGCTAGGGGCATGATGGAGGAACAAATTAAGATCTTTGGGTCTCTGGTGGGACAAGGGCCCAAGGATAAAGGAGCCTGATGTTGTTGAGTCAGATATTGCAGGGAGCATTCTCAGTGGGGGACAGTAGGTCAGGCCAGTTCGGAGACCTGTCTCTAGAGGGGGAAAGAGAAAACACATGTAGATCTCTGCTGTTTGAGGAAACTCTGGACCAAGAAGCTGGGTTAGAATGGGAAACAAAAGGACCTTTAAGGCTGGGGGAAGAAACATGGAATTAGTTAAGAAGTTCTGCCCAGTGAGGGAGTGGAATCTGGCAGAGTTTGGCAGGGGTAGAATCCGAGGTAGCAAACTGATGTTAACTAGAAACTCAAGCAGGAATACCTAGGTTTCTTAGGGCACAGGGACTGGGGATATGCACAGAGGAACTGTTGGCAGTACTGGTGACCATAAAGATAGTAGTGAGGGGGCAGTTTATGAATTGAGGGGTCATTGCAGCAGTATCTGACATAGATATTTAATAACTATTTGTGAAGCCAAGAGGGTCAGTGGTTCCTGGGAATAGTGGGTCCTGAGTTTCTGAAGAGGCATAAGAAAATACCTAGGTTCCATTCAAGGAGAGGATGGAGGCAGTGACTAAGGGGCTTAAGACAGCTTGGAGGTGCAAATCCCCAAATGGACCTTTGTTCCTCGATGGAAGTTAGAAGTAAAGGTCAGGGTTGGGGGCTCAGTCCCTTAACCCTAGGACCTAGGACTTCCTGCATCTACCAGATTTCCCCACCTACACACAGGCACCCTTGGCCTGTAACGCCTTCTCTGCCCACTAGGGGGCAGGGCTCGAGGGGGCTGGTGGCTGTTCTGAAGCCTCGAGGGCCTTCAGTTTCTACCAGAGCCGCTGCGGGAGCTGTCCTACCCATGGCCCGACACAGGCCCTCAAACCTCTGCCCCCTTCCAGGCAGTGGTGGGGGCGGCCCCAGAGGGCCAGTGCCCCTGCGGGTTGACACTCTGACGTGGTTGAACACCCAGGCGGCCCCTGGCAGGGTGATCATCTGGCCGGCGGTCCGGCTGGGGGTCTGCCCAGGCCCTGAGGCGTGGGGGATTCCCCCGGGTCCCCTGCCACACGAATTCCGGGGCTGGATAGCACCCTGCAGAGCCTGTCTTGGAGCTGGCGAGGCAGGGACCTGGTTGCGAAACCCGTCCGAAGGCGCCCTCCTCGGGCCCTACATTGCCCTGCGGAGCATCCCGAAGTTGCCGCTGCCAGAGGACGTCTCATGCATACAGAAAGAGTTGCAGCAGCTGGCCAAGGAGCTGAGAGAGAAGAGGCTGAACCTAGGGTACTCGCAGGCCGATGTAGGGATCGCTGTGGGAGCTCTATTTGGGAAGGTGCTTAGCCAAACGACCGTCTGCCGCTTCGAGGCTCAGCAGCTAAGCCTCGCCAACATGTGGAAGCTGCGACCACTGCTGAGAAAGTGGCTGGAGGAAGTGGACGCAGAGAACCTTCTAGGCTTATGCAAAATGGAGATGATCCTGCAGCAGTCTCGCAAGTGGAGACGGGCAAGCAGGGAGCGACGAATCGGAAACAGCCTGGAGAAATTCTTCCGGCGGTGCCCGAAGCCCACACCACAGCAAATCAGCCACATTGCTGGGTGCCTCCAGCTGCAGAAGGATGTGGTTCGAGTTTGGTTCTATAACCGCAGCAAGATGGGCAGTCGGCCAACCAATGATGCTTCCCCACGGGAGGTTGCGGGGGCTGCCGCTCTTCCATGCCCAGGGGCACCAGTGTGCTTTCCCCTGGGACTGGGGATCCCGGTGGGTGTCCCCCACTATTCACCTCTCTACTCTGCAGGGGTAGCCCACCCCTCTGCCCCAGGCACCACTCTGGGCCTCCCCAGACTTTAGGGCTGAGGGACATGCCCTTCGCGGCAAGTTTGGAGAGAAAAGAAAAAGGGAAAACCCAGGAAACGTCCCTGGGGTTCATTTAAGGACTTTTAGCATTAAGATCTCATTCACTGTCTAAAGAAGTTAAGAATACATAGCAGGGAATGGGGTGTGGGAATTATTCAAGAAAAACTTGGGAGAGAAGTAACTTATTGCAGTTTTTGTGTTCTCCCTTTGTTTCTCCCTAGCATTGGTTTCAAGGTACATTACAGTATATAGATGGTTTTGATATTGTGTTTCTTTTTTTTTTATTAAATATTATGTCTGTTATTCCTTGTGGTTATGAGTAAACATAGGGTTTAAATTTTTTTTATAGACACAATACTAAGTGAAAAATTCGAGTCACAGAAGACTACCTTAGTATACAATTTTTAATTAAAATCAAGCAGAACTCTTTGTAAACACAAACACAAAATCCAGGATAATAGTTATCTCAAGGGGATGGCTTGAGAATGTGATAAGGAAGAAACACACAGAGCCCACCTAGAGCGCTTGCTGAAACACCTGAGCTTTCTTGGAAAATTCTTTTTTTTTTCTAATCTAACTTTTCCTTTCTAGTGCCCCAGCTTCATGTCAGGATCTCAGTTCATCTCCCCACTTTATGCAGTCCCATGGGCTTATGTCCTGTCCTGCCACAGTCACTATATTCTAAACTCCTTTGTTACTGATGTTGGCAAGCTGGACAGCCAGAGCTTTAGTGCCCGCAGTAGCTTATTCCTCCAGTTTTCAGCTCGATTTGGTTCCCTGGGAATTTCCTTTACTTTCTCTTGATATCTGGTACAGTTTTGAGAAGATATTTGTAATTGTTTATCCAAACTTCCCTGGTGGCTTTTGCCATTATACATCAAATCACTCTTCTAATTTCGTCTCTGAAATTGGTCTTTTCAGTTTTCCCTTCTACTTTGGTCAGTTTTGGTCACCATATACTAAATGGAAATCATTCATCCCTCTTTGTCTTCAAACCTCCTGTCACACCCCTGCCTGTACTATTTATTGTCCTGGAATTCTATCAGTATAGATTATAACAGAGTTTATGTCTTATTTCTGGATACTAATATTGTCAATTTTTGCTTTTTTTGTAATCAGTCTGCAAATATTTTATCTATAGATATTTTCAAAGTATAAGCTTTTTGACTCTTATTCTACTAACTACTATTTTTATTCCCTAATTAATTTTCACTTTACACTTCTAAATTTTTTCCTAATTTCTTCTGGTTTTTATCATTGCTCTTTTTAATAGTTTTTACATGAGTACTTAGTTTCTTTTTTTTTTTTTTTTTAGTGGGTGTTTTTTTTTTTTTTCTAGTGGGTGTATAGAAAATAACTCTTGTGGGCCTGAGAATGTAAACCAGGTGCACAATAAGAGAATAGAAACAGATCTTCTGACCTCAAGGCCAGGGCTAATTTTACTATCACACAAGTCAGGCATGACTAAGCTTTCTATTTAATCTTTTCTTCCTGAGGCTGTAGAAAATTTACCTTTACGTGTGTGTGTGTGTGTGTGTGTGTGTGTGTGTGTGTGTGTATGTGATAAAATGTAAAATTTGCCATTGTAATAATTTTAAGTGTAAATTCAATGACATTAGTTACATTCACAATGTCAGGCAACCATTACCACTATCCATTTCCAACATTTTTCAGTCACTCCAAACATAAACTCTTCTCATTAAGCAATAACTCCATTCCCCTACCCCTTAACCCACTAACCTTTAATCTATATTTCTGTGAATTTGTCTGTTCTAAGCAGTTCATATTCATGGAATCATACAACATTTGACCCTTTGTTTTGGCTTATTTCACTTAGCATGTTTTCAAGTTTCATGTATGTTGTAGTATGTATCAGAACTTCATTTTTGTTTTGACTGAATAATATTCCATTGTATGGATATACCACATTTTGTTTATCCATTCCTATGATGATGGGCACTTAGATTATTTTCATTAATAGCCAGCGGGCTATTGTGAATATTACTGCTATGAACATTTGTGTGTAAGAATCTATTTGAGTATCTATTGTTTCCGTTCTCTTGGATGTATACATAGGAATGGAATTTCTGAGTCATATGGTAATTCTATGCTTAACTTTTTGGGAAACTGCAAAATTGTTTTTCATAGTGAAGACACCATTTTACATTCCCACTAGCAATGTAAAAGAATTCCAGTTTTTCCATATCCCTGCCAACACTTGTTATTTTTTAAAAAATTATAACTATCTTGGTAGCTGTGAAGTGGTATCTCATTGTGGTTTTGATTTGTATTTCCCTAATAACTAATGATGTTGAGCATCTTTTCATGCGCTTATTGTCTATTGTGTATCTTCTTTGAAGAAATGTCTATTCAAATCCTTTGGCCATTTTAAAAATTGGGTTGTTTTTTTTCTTCATAGAGTCTGGATACTAAGCCCTTATTAGATAGATGATTTGCAAATATTTTTTCTTATTCTGTGGGTTGTCCTTTCACTCTTTTGACAGTATCTTCTGATGCACACAAGTCTTTAATTTTTATTAAGTCCAGTTTATCCATTTTTTCTTTTGTTGCTTGGGCTTTTGGTATAGCCAAATGCAAAATCATGAAGATTTGCTCCTCTGTTTTCTCCTATGAATTTTACAGTTTTATTTATTAAATTTAGGTCTTTGATTAATTTCAAGTTAATTTTTGTATATGGTATGAGGTCAGGGCCCAACTTCATTCTTTTGCATGTGAATAGCCAGTTTTCCCAGCACCATTTGTTGAGAAGTTCTTTCTGAATTGAACGATATTAGCACCCTTGTCAAAAATCAGTTGACCACAGACATGAAGGATTATATCTGGGCTCTCAGCTGTCTTCTGTTGGTCTGTATGTCTGTCTTTATGCCAGTACCACATTGTTTTGACTATTGTAGCTTTGTAGTAAGTTTTTAAATTGGGAAATGTGAGTCTTTCAATTTTGTTCTATGCCATTGTGGGTCACTTGAACTTTCATATGAATTTTAGGATCAGTTTTTCCATTTCTGCCCAAAACACCATTGAGATTTTGATACAGAATGCATTGAACCCTCAATGTTGCTTTAGAGAGTGTTGTCATCTTAACAATTTTAAATCTTCCAATCCATGAACAAAGGATGTCTTTTCACTTATTTATGTCTTCTTTGATTTCTTTGAGCAATGTTTTATAGTTTTAGTGTATAAGCCTTTAATTTCCTTAAAGTTATTCATAGATATTTCATTCTTTTGGATACTACTGTAAATGGAATAGTTTTCTTCGTTTCCTTTTAAAATTGTTCATTGCTAATGGATAGAAAAACATCTGATTTTCCTGTGTTGGTTGTGTATCCTGCAGCTTTGCAGATTTAGTTCTAAGAAGTTTTTATGTGCATTCTTTAGGGTTTTCTACATATAAATCATGTCATCTGTGAATAAAGATAGTTTTGCTTCTTCCTTTCCAATTTGGATACCCTTTCTTTTTATTACCCAATTGCTCTGTCAAAAACTTGTAGTATTATGTTGTATAAAAGCAGCAGAAGGGGACATCCTTGTCTTGTTTTTGGTCTTAGGAGAAAAACTTTCAGTCTTTTCACCACTGAGTATGATGTTAGCTGTGGCTTTTTCATATGTAGTATTACTCATGTTCAAGAAGTTCCTTTTTTCTTAGGTTATTGAATGTTTTTATATGCAAGGATATGGGTTTTTGACAGTTTCTCTGGAATGAATGAAAAATGCTTAAGGGACATATGAAATCCTGTGACTATTTCATAAGATTATGCTAACTACCAGTGCTGCTACTTCTTTCCTCAGTACTACCATCACCATTGCATCAACACCTAAAGGACCTAAGCATCATTTTTCCCCCAACTCTAAGGTTGATTATTTCTCTGTTTCGAGGGAATCTCATTCTCATGACATCCTTCTATGAGTAAATGACTCACCTGGGGTGATGAAAACAAGTTTTAAATCAGATTTTCCATAGTCCACAATATGAAGCAGCCCCAGATGTAGCTCAGCTTTCAGGAATCAACTTTTGGTGAAGTACTTGTAAAACAAAAAGTCAAGTAAATATTCATGCTGCTCTTAGATTCTTCTAACTCTTTAAAAAGTTTATTATAAACAAATTGTAACAACTTTAATTTTCAGAACATACCTATAAGCTGTATTGTTTCAGGTGGACAGTGGAGATACATCAAGATTATACATATACACTTGTATAAGATTAGCTTGAGTTCCCAGTTTATTTACTCAAGAATATAGAATCACACTGGAAATACCATGGCCACAGAGCAGGTGTAAACGAACCATATACATCAGCACAGCTTCCCATGGTCCAGCATCCTTGATGATGGTGCCCAAAATAAGGCACTGGATAAAAAGGGCGGAAATGAATTCCACACTAGTTTTTTTATCCTTGGGGCTACGTCAGTGCTCAAGAAAAAATGTCTGCTCTTAATGCTTCCATTTAAGAGAATATTTGGTGACGTTAAGCTCCTTCTGGTTCTTGGACCAAACTCGGTGACAGTGAATCCACAACTTCATCGAGCAGAAGAATCTGAATTAGTGCCTGGGTCTCTGATCCCAGCTTACAACATCCCAGTGAGACCATTTCCTCCACACAAGCTCCTGGGACCCAGCTTAACAAATGTATGCTTTTTTTTCTTGTCAGTATCTAAAGATAGAGCACTGAGGATCCACATAAGTTAGTAAAAATGGAGCCAAACCTTAATTCCTTAGCTTTAGATTGAATAGGTGACTAGGCACTTACTATTGGATTATCCCACTAAAAGTCACATGGCACCAACTCCATTTCATCCTTTTCCTAGACAGCCCTTCTGGAAAGCCTTGGAAAGGAGATGTTTCTGCAGAGAGTCAGACAGTGTTGAATGTCAGGATAAACAGCTCTGATTGTGTTGTGAGCGTAAGATCTATGAAGAGGCACTGACCACAGCTGCTCCTTCAGTTCTTCTGCAGCGTCTACAGATGTGGAGAAGTTGTGATGGGCTCTCAATCTCAGGGAACAGCTCTTAGAGTCCACCTCAGCCCCCACATAGCTGCATCATCGACACACCCCACATAGCTGCCCCACCTGTGCTTAGTCAAAGCCTCGTATGTGTCCCTAATCAGCTTCACATAATTTACAAGATTTTCTCTTGACATGCTGTGAAAAGGGAAAAGGCTGGACCTTAGGGAAACCTTAATACTGAAGTAATTTCAGATTTTTCAGAGATTTAAGATGATAAGTAGAAACTTTAAGAATAAGATCCCTTAAACAGAAAAATAACCACCCTGAGAGTTGGGAGAAC